GTCTAAGACTCATGAACTCTCTGACATGTGATACACAGAAGAAAATGCATATTCTCCTGATTGTCTCATTGGTTCAAAATATGTGACTTTCCTAATCGTGTCTGTGGAGATTCTCAATCATCCAGGTCATGATTGTCTCAAAGGCGCTTTTTTTTCAAGAGGTAACTGGACCTTCTTTGTTTTTCCTTGAAGACATTTCGCTTCTCATCCAAGAAGCTTTTTCAGTTCTCTCCTAATAGATGGTGTTATGGCTGGATCAGAAACACCTTAATCAATTCTGGATGGCAATACTTATCATACCTTAAATAACTTAAGTATTTCACCAAGATGACTGAACTCAAGAAAAATATATATAATACATATAAAATGTTTTAAATTAGAGTTAAGGGATTAGGTGACTAGATTTATTGAACAGAATGTTTAAAGATTAAATATATTTTTAACTATAATTAAAAAGAATTAGAAATTCGAGAAAATAAATACTACTAAGCTAGGTGAGAGATATATTTTAAGTACTATGTTATTTTTCTCTGTTCTGTTACAACTGCTTTTTTCTATTCTTTTGTATTTTTTTATTTATTTTTTTCTCTTATTCTCTTTCTCTTCCCCTCTCTTTTTACTTTTATATTTAATACTTAAGAAACACAAAAATGTGAGATGGCTTATATGGAAAAAATAGAATCAAGTCTGTCAATGTAAATGTAATTAATTGCTACCAATAAAAATACTCAGAATTTGGTGGGAGAAATAAACTAAAATAAGGACTGTAACAGGATTGATGATAAGGCAAATCCAAATGAATGGAAAGAAAAGAAATGTATTAATATGATGATTATTTTTTAGGAATATTGGAAAAAATATATACTAAATTGTCAGTTATTAAAATATTAAGAATTGTATTAACGCAATGTTTGCAAAAAAGGATGTTTTTAGGGAAAGAGGAAAGTAAACAAAATTAATATATGAAATACAGACTATAGAAATTAATTGTTAAGGACTGTTTTTACAAATGTAACCCAGACACCACACTGTTTATCAACTATTGAATGACTTATGTTTGTGTAAAAAACTAATAAAAATTATGATAAAAAAAAGTATTTCACCAAGAAAGAAATGGATAACAAAGGAGAGACTGCATGAAGAATACCTTCTATTATTCTGGATGGAGTGTGTAAAATTGAATTGAATACCTGGGCAGAAATAGTTCTTTACTTTGAAAGCATTTGTTGATGTTTCTGACACTTAATTCCCACAGAAAACAGTGGATATTGGATATTATCGCCTCTAGATGAGATGGGTGGCCCATAGATCAAACAAACAAACAAATGAAGCTTTCCCATTGAAAGGTTTTTGAATCTTTTCTTTCAAATTGAAGAGAATGGTATTTTTTTTTATTAAACTCTGAATCTCTGGGAAGCCTTTTAACTAATTTTCTCTGTGCCTTGTTCTGATTTATGATGTTTGCATATTTGATCCTTGATTATTTTATTGTGTTTCGAAAGTTTGTAGCTGTTTAGCTATTTTTCATGAGAAGGATGGTTTGGCTTGGTGGGTGGGGTGGGAGGGATGGGAGGAGTGAGGGAGAAAAGTAAAACTACAGGAATCCACCTGCCCCAAAGACACCTTGTACATTATAAATAAGGTCAGCAGCATTTATCAACACCATTCCTTTGTCAGGATAGGATGAGCAAGCTTTATGCTGGTATAACTTTCTTCCAGTGTCAGCTGTCACTTTATGCTTGCTTGTGCTTTGCTGCTGTGTGGTGACAGGCTGCTATGAACTGTGGATGCTGTATTTCCTTTAGACACTGCCTCAAGGTCACCCAGTTGGAAGGAGGGAGCAACATACCAAACAGGGCTTAGACCAGACATGTCAAACTCGCAATGTCATGTGACGCCACACAACATATCGGAGCTTTTTCGCCATTGCTGGCAATGGGGTGGGCGTGGTTTCCCAATGATGCGTCTGGCCCGCGGGCCGGCAGTTTGACAGCCCTGGTTTAGACTGACCATTATGAAAACATCTTTCCTGAGCCTGATTGGTTACACTGGACAATGGTGGGCAACGAGGGAGGAAAAAGTAGAATAGGAATTTTGGAGTGGATTCTCAGTTCTGGCTTTGCGCTACTGCAATATTCTTGATCTCTAATAAACTATACCTTTCTCAACAAATGGAGCCAAGGATCATTTCTATTTAAGTTGAGGCAGATCTGACAGCCAATTCAACTGGGGGGTAACACTTAAACTCAGTTGTAAGGAACCATGCTAAAGGTATATTAGTATTATGTTTATAGAATCCACACATGCATTTCCCATGCTCACATAGTCTATTGCCAGATATTTCACATTCTCCTGCATATTCTCAGCAAGTTATATTAATAGCCATACTATTGCTATGACTTTTACTACTAGTTTGTCAGTGGTTATTCCTAAATATGTATAACAGGTAGAACTTTGAACAGCAAGTCAAAAAAATAAGTTTTTCCTGATTTAGGAGATACCGTATATTACCCTTGAGTATGTTACTTTCTTAAAGTGTCATAATCTATGCCACTGACATACATAATAATTCATAAAAATGCCTTTGCAATGTATGAGCATAGCACCTCATAGTATCTTCTTAAAGGGCAGACATATTTTTTTCTGCAGAATTGAAAAATTCTATTGTGCTTTCAAAAATAATAGAGGTACTATGCTCATACATTGCAAAGGCATTTTTTATGAATTATTGTGTATGTCAGTGGCATAGTTTTATAAGCTTTATAAGATTTCAAATTCATTTATAGGCGAGTGAACATTTGTACTCAATTTAAAACATTATATTATAGGTAGTCCTCGACTTACAATCTCAATGGAGCCAAAATGTATGTTGCAAAATTAAACAGTTGTTAACTGAGTTTTGCCCCATTTTATGACCTTTCTTGCCACAGTTGTTAAGTGAATCACTGCAGTTGTTAAGTTAGTAACACAGTTATTAAGTGAATCTGACTTCCCCATTGACTTTGCTTGTCAGAAGGTCACAAAGTGATCACATGACGCTGGGACAATGGAGCTGTCATAAGTTCATGCCGGTTGCCAAGCTTCTAAATTTTCATCATGAAATCACGGGAATGCTGCAACAGTTCATAAGTGTGAAAAAAGTCATACATCACTTTTTACAGTGCCATTGTAACTTCAAATGGTCATTAAACAAAGTGTCAAGGACTACCTATGTAGTTCAAAATGCTTAATTTTTACTTACATTATTTTATTAATAACACTGTAAAGTTAATAGCAACAATCAATCAACTATCAACTAAGACAAAAAAAATCAAACAACAAACAACAGCTTAATCAAGGAACTGCTAAGAATACTTCCACTAACACTGACAGTGCAAACCAATACTATATAAACAGAGAACAAATCCCACATTCTTCTAACCCTAACCATAATCCTAGTTGGGTAATGAAATATCTGCAAGAAAACCATCAAGTTATGTTTAAAGAACATAAAGAACCCCGCAATTCAACCCTGGAATTAAAATATTCACTTCTATTGATGTTCTCCCTGAACCATGAAAAAAAGAAAATAAAAAAGGTAGGATAAACAGATGAAACAATGCCCATAACTACTACAAGCATAAGAAAAGTCTGGCAAGATCATATATTTAGATGCAGGATGCAATTATATTCATTGCAAAGCAATTGCCTATTGGTGATATTCAGAATGGAATTTATGCCCGATATAATTCATTATATAGCACCAGATCTCGTGAATTATAGAGAAAGCCTTTACTGATCAGTTATGGACCTCTTATAGTTCTACTTTGCATTTCTGGTTCATAACATCACATTTCCATTAAACCCAGTAAGCAATCACTACTGGAAGTGATAGGTGACAAATCTTTTGAATTTCAGGATATTTAGTATATCCGTTTTGCAATCTTTTACTGGCAGGTTTGCAAATAGGTTCCAATGGGGGTTTCTAATCAAAATTTCTTACTCATCCTTAGTTCCAATGGCCCTCTGTCTTTCTGTATGTGTGTGTATGCATTTTGCTGTATATTTCAACAGCAAAATGTATGAACAGAGGTCATGCAAGGAAAATCAAGCTGCATTTTACGGAATAATATTGAAACAAATGGCAATTTCCTTATATCCCCCTGAATATATAGTGGAGAATGATGAATAGTTAATGAAGTAGGAAAAAAGATGATTAGGGGACTGGAAGCCAAAACATACAAAGAACAGTTGTAGGATTTGGCTATGTCTAGTTTAACGAAAAGAAGGACTAGGGATGATATGATAGCAGTGTTCCAATATCTAAGGGGCTCCCACAAAGAAGAAGGGTCAACCTATTTTCCAAAGCACCAGAAGGCAGGACATGAAGCAATGGATGGATACTAATCAAGGAGAGAACTAACCTAGAACTAAGGTGAAATAACCTGACAGTGGGAACAATTAACCAGTGAAACAGCTTGCCTCCAGAAATTGTGGGTGCTCCAACAATGGAGATTCTTAAGAAAAGACTGAACAGCCACTTGTCTAGAATGGTGTAGGGTCTCCTGCTTGAACAAATGGTTGGACTAGAACAGTGGCCCCCAACCTTTTGGGCACCAGGGACTGGTTCCGTGGAGAGAGATTTTTACCATGGACCAGAGGGGGTGTGATTTCATGTGTGGCCTGCATCTCGCAGATGGGGCTTCGCTTGTTTGTGTGGCCCAGTTTCTGGCATGCTGCAGACCGGGGCTGGTCTACAGACCGGGGATTGGGGATCCCTGGACTAGAAGACCTCCAAGGTCCCTTCCAACTCTGTTATTAAAACTTTCTTAGGTATTTTCTTCAAAAGATATGTTTGAGGTAAGGTTAATAATAATTAGAATTCTTTCTCCCAAGATATGTTATTTCATTGCATATTGGCCTTGCATATTCCCAAGTTCCATTTTCAGATAATGATAAAGATCAGCTGGGAGAATCTTTCTACAATATTTGAGCTCTTACTTATTACACATACATGATGAGCCTTTCTACTATCAATCCACAGTATGATTTATTCTGCATCAGTCTTCTAGACAAGTACCAATAATATACAGCAACCAATGTTTCTAATGAACTTACTGTTATAGAGAACAATATTTTTACTCTGCTAAGGTATGAAACTTGAAATTCTATTTATGAGAACCATTGGGTAGGAAGAAGAGATAAATGAACTATAATGTGGGTGACATTTCCACTTAAATCTTTAAAGTCTTTGGCAAACTAGCTACCTAGTTTGTTATGTTAATTAATAGCACATGCAAAAAAAGAAGGAAGGTTATAAAATTATATAAATAAAATAAATAAAGCATAAAGCATGTTTCTTGTTCTGCAGATATCAAGCACCATGGTACTGTTCTATTCTTCAATGAACTTTGTTATGAATATCTAACCTCATTATTTTAATTGTCAATATGAGGCACAACACTGAGTTAGGTTTATGATATATAAAATAATTACATCACAGCCCAAGGTATGGCTATAATGACTAGATAAAACTTTTGAAGCTCAAATATTTTGGCCACCAAATGAGAAGAGAGGACTCATTGGAGAAGAAGCTGACGTTGGGAAAGGTGGAAGACAAAGGAGAAGAAGGCGGCAGAGGATAAGATGGTTAGATAGCATCATCAACATAGTCGGTGTGCGTTTGGCCAGATTCAAGTGGAGAACAGGGCAGCCTGGCGTGCTATGATCCATGGGTTCCCGAAGAAATGAACCTGATTTAGCAATGGAACAACAACATATAAATCTTTTAATTTTTTTAAAAAAGCATTTTTATGTGATAGTGTTTTTATTATATGATTCCAGATGGAGTTGGCCAATGGGACTGCAGTCCAGGAATTCATTTTGCTGGGATTTGGAATCGATCAGCAGAAACGCTTCTTGCTGCTTTGTTTCTTGATTATCCTTTATGTTTTAACATTGATTGAAAACAGCACCATTATAACCCTGGTTTGTCGAGATAACCATCTGGGTCAGGTTCCCATGTACATCCTGTTGAGCAACTTTTCCTGGCTGGAGATGTGCTATGTGACCACCACAATTCCCTGCATGCTTTTTGACCTTGCGACCCATAACCAGGTTATCTCTTTCCATGCTTGCTTCCTCCAGTTCTACCTCTTGTTCTCTCTTGGCACCACTGAATTCTTCTTCCTCTCAGCCATGGCTTTAGATCGATACTTAGCCATCTGTCACCCACTGCACTACCAGACCATCATGTCCCCACATTCTTGTTATATTCTGGTAACCACTTGTTGGATTCTTGGTTTCCTGGGCTACATCACGCCTGTTGTTTTCCTCTCTAAGTTATCCTTCTGTGGATCTAACATTATTGATCATTTTGTCTGTGACCTCATTCCCCTTCTGTCTTTGGCTTGTCCGCCACTTGGAAAAGCTCCTTTGATTTGCCAAATTATTGTGAACATTCTATTTTTAAGCAATGTTACATTTGTTATTCTATCCTATGGCATGGTGATTTACACTTTGATGAAATCCTCCAGTAAAGGGAATTCTAGGAAGGGCTTCAATACTATATCTATGCATCTTTTGGTAGTGACCCTTTTCTACAGCACAGTAGGAGCCATGTATCTAATTCCAGTTGGAGAAAGCCATTTAAAGGTTAATAAGACAATAACACTCTTCTATGCTGCCATTATACCTTTTCTTAACCCCTTGATCTACTGTCTGAGGAACGATCAAGTGAAGGAGGCACTGCACAAATTTTTGGTAGAAGTATCAGGTTTGATAATGTCAACAATCACAGTGTAAAAAAGATCAATATCTCTGGGTGGTACAAAATCCAAGTTACGTTTACTTTTCTACATACATGAGAGAAGATGTAGCCCTGAATTCATACAATTTCCCTCCTTATTTCTCCTCAACTCTGTCTCACACAAAAATCAATGCAAAATCCTAGATTTCTCTTGATCAGTTGGTTCCAAAGAAATGACTTACTATTTGGCTAATGGATGGCTCTAAAGATTGACTTTAAACAATTTACTCCACTTTAATATACAACTCATCTTGAAATAATCCAGTATTTTATTTGGGAAGAAAAAAAGAATTTAGACCAAAACTTATTTTACAGCATGAATTAAAAGGGGAACCTCTAGATTAAATTATTTCTCTACAATGAAATTAATGTTTGCCAATATTATTGTCTAAATCAGTAGTTCTCAACCTTCCTAATGCCCTGACTCTTTAATATAGTTCCTCATGTTGTGGTGACCCCCAACCATAAAATTATTTTCGTTGCTACTTCATAACTGTAATTTTGCTACTGTTATGAATCGTAATGTAAATATCTGATATGCAGGGTATATTTTCATTGTTACGAATTGAACATAATTAAAGCATAGTGATTAATCACAAAAACAGTATAGCAATGCTCGCTGGAGAAACTTGCTCTTCCTTGCTCAAAAATGTTGGGAGGGAGGGAAGGGGAAGGAAGGAAGGAAGATTGAAGGGGAAAGGAAGGAGATGGAGAAGGAAGGAGATTGAAGGGGAAAGGAAGGAGGGAAGGAAGGAGAAAGAGATTGAAGGGGAAGGGATGGAGATGGAAGGAAGGAAGATTGAAGGGGAAAGGAAGGAAGGAAGGAGAGAGAGAGACTGAAGGGGAAGGGATGGAGATGGAGATGGAGATGGAAGGAAGGAAGGAAGATTGAAGGGGAAAGGAAGGAGATGGAGAAGGAAGGAAAGAAGGAAAGAAGGAAGGAAGGAAGGAAGGAAGGAAGGAAGGAAGGAAGGAAGGAAGGAAGGAAGGAAGGAAGGAAGGAAGGAAGAATCTTTGAAGAATCATGTTTTTCCAGATGGTGATGAACTGCAACTCCCAGCATTCCCCACTCTTCCACAGTGCTTTTTAGGGCTGCTGGGGATGGTAGTCCAGTAAGGTCTGGAGACACACAAAGATGCCCTCCGACCGTGAGGGAGGCAGGCCGGGCAGCACAGGGGAAGCTCTGGCACAGCGTGGAGGGTGGCCAGGGTGGAGCACGGCCGGGCAACCAGGAGGTGTGGGGACTGGCTCGGCACCACAGCTCAGCTCAGCTCCGCCAGCAGCAGCAGCAACAGTAGCAGCAGCAGCAGCAGCGTGTTGCCCAAGCAGGGTGGGAAGAGGGGGTGGTGGTGGCAAGTCATGAAAGCAGCATCCACATGTTCAGAGTGCAAACGCCTTGGATGGTTTGGCTCTCCCACCCCTTTATTTACTGATCTGCCACAAGCTCATGCAAACAAGCCCCGAGGAGTTCTGAATGAGCGGTCATTTTTTTTAAAAAAGCTTTAAGCAACGAGGCAGAAAGGGGAACTCGCTCATGGCTCTTTTTTTCCCTTTTTCGGCGACTGGGAAGGCAGCAGCCAGAGACACCGCTGCACAAAGGGAGGCGGAGAGAGGGGCGAGGTGGAAAACCTCACTCAACTTTCGCCCTTATCAGACCCGGTTCCCTTCTGGTCGACCCCCACCCACCCTCCCGCCCCCTTCACCTCCCGCTACAGATCGACGCTGCCCCTTGGGAGTATTTTGCCAGGCTTTTTTTTTAACCTTGGCCCTGCGCTTCTCTCAGACGGAAGCCAGGCAAGAGGACCTGAAAGATGCCAAGCAGGAGGTTCATAGCCATGGCGACGCAGCAGTAGCTGCTCTGCAATGGGTAGCGCAGCCCCGCCATGTTGCTGAGGCAGCTGCTTTCCTGTCTGCCCAAGCTGACTGGTGGAGCTAGCCTTGAGCAGAAATTCTCACTAGTGTCTCGGTTCCTAAGACCATCGGAAATATGTGTTTTCCGATAGTCTTAGGCAACCCCTGTGAAAGCGTTGTTCAACCCCCCAAAGGGTCGTGACCCACAGGTTGAGAACCGCTGCCCTATACCATTTCAGACAAGTGGCTGCACAGTTTTTTTCTTAAAAACGTCCAATGAGGAAGCACCCACAACTTCTGAAGGCAAGTTGTTGCACCGGTTAATTGTCCTCCCTATTAGGAAGTCTGTCTTTAAGTCCAGGTTGCTTTTCTCCTTGATTAGTTTCCATCCATTATTTCTTGTCTTGCCTTCTGGTATTTTGGAAAATGAGTTGACCCCCTTCTCTTTGTGGCAGACCCTCAAATACTGGAATACTGCTATCCCTAGTCCTTCTTTTCTCTAGATTGGCCATGCCCAATTCCTGCAACCATTCTTCATATGTTTTTGTCTCCTTAATTGTTTTAGTTGCTCTTCTTTGCAGTTTTTCCAAAATCTCAACATTTTTTTTTTGTAATGGATGCAGTATTCCAGGTGTGGTCTTACTAAGGATTTATAATGTGGTACTAGTATTTTGTGTGATCTTGATTCTATGCCTCTGTTTATATAACCCAGGGATTGTGTTAGCTTTTTTTGGCTGCAGCACAGTGCTGGCTCATGTTCAAGTGATTCTCCAATAGGACTTCAAGGTCCCTCTCACAGTTACTGTTTTTGAGCCAGGCTTTGCCTAATCTGTACTCATACCTTTGTTTTTTCCTGCCTAGGTGTAAAACCTTGCTTTTCTCCACATTAAATTTCAGTTGTTGGATAGGGCCCATTGTTCAAGTCTGTCAAGATCTTTTTTGGATCCTGAACTAGTCTTCTGGGGTGTAAGTGATGTGTGGGAAATCTCAGACCTGAGTTATGTCAGGGGCCACTGAAGGGTTTTCCAGGAGTGATTTGTCATTGTCTTTTTTCCTAGGGCTGAGAGAAAATGTCTAGCCCAAGGTCACCAGCCAGCTTAGCACCACAAGTGGATCTAGGACTCATGATCTTCTGGTGTCTAGCCTGAAGTATTAACCACTACGCCGCTTGATTAATTGAAGGACTTCCTTGCAAATTACAGAAAAAGGCAAATGCATTGTTTTCAAATGTACTGGTTTGAAAATGACTAAATAAATACATTTATACAACTCTGTAAACCAAATGTATTTCTTCCCTGTCTCTGGATTTTTGAGAAAGTAACACTCTTTTCTTTGGTGACAGTCAAGAGCAGAGGAGGGTCAATATACTGTACTTTCCGGCGTATAAGACAACTTTCGCAAGCGTTAAAATCGGCGCCGAAGTCGGGGGTTGTCTTATACACCGAGTCATCTTATACACCGGATATAATGGTAGTTTCCAGCGTATAAGACGACTTTCTAGGCATGCGACTTGGTGCCGAAGTCGGGGGTCATCTTATACGCCGAGTCGCCTAATATGCTGGAATATACGGTAACTTACAGCCTTCTTTTCTAATCATGCTGCCTCTACACTCAGTCCTGAGGTTTCCTTGTAGTAACTGTGGTATGTTAGTCATATTAGTCTGTGGTGTCAAAAAATCGGGAGTCTGATAGCAGGTTTTCTGACTAGCAAATTCTATTAAAAGGCATACACTTTCAGGAGCTGCAGCTCCCTTGTTCATAGAGTGTCTAGTTCAGGGGTTCTCAACCTTGGCAACTTTATGATGTGTGAAATTCAATTCCCAGACGTTTCCAAGTGCAGTGGAACATCCACAATTCATAACACTTCTTACCTTGCAAATAGAAAATAATTTAGGTGGATCCCAATGACTTTTCATGCAATGGAATTACAAGTATTGGCTATTAGCACTCCCAAGATAGTTATCTCTCATTAACTTTCTTTTAATTGAAGTGTTTGGACTTTCTTGAATCAAAAAGACATGTCTACAGTCAGGGACTCCCTTTTCCTTATCTTCCCTCAAGCTTTTCCAAAGCCGCTTGGAATGTTTAGCTCCTCTGGGTGTAAATGAAGGGACTCAGGATGGGAGTGGTGACAGTGTAGAGACCAGAAGCTGCCTTATCCAAGAAAAAGCTGCAGAAGTGATGAGCACAAATAACAGACTAACAGAGTTGGAAGGGACCTTGGAGGTCTTCTACTCCAACCTCTTGCTCATGCAGGAAACTCTATACCATTTCAGAAAAATGATTGTCCAATCCCTCTATAGCAGTGGTTCTCAACCTTCCTAATGCCGTGACCCTTTAATACAGTTCCTCATGTTGTGGTGACCCCCAACCATAAAATTATTTTCGTTGCTACTTCATAACTGTAATTTTGCTACTGTTATGAATCGTAATGTAAATATCTGATATGCAGGGTGTATTTTCATTGTTACAAATTGAACATAATTAAAGCATAGTGATTAATCACAAAAACAATATAGCAATGCTCGATGGAGAAGCTTATTCTTCCTTGCTCAAAAATGTTGGGAGGGAGGGAAGGGGAAGGAAGGAAGGAAGATTGAAGGGGAAAGGAAGGAGATGGAGAAGGAAGGAGATTGAAGGGGAAAGGAAGGAAGGAAGGAGAAAGAGATTGAAGTGGAAGGGATGGAGAAGGAAGGAAGGAAGGAAGGAAGGAAGGAAGGAAGGAAGGAAGGAAGGAAGGAAGGATGGAAGGAAGATTGAAGGGGAAAGGAAGGAGATGGAGAAGGAAGGAGATTAAAGGGGAAAGGAAGGAAGGAAGGAAGGAAGGAAGGAAGGAAGGAAGGAAGGAGAGAAAGACTGAAGGGGAAGGGATGGAGATGGAGATGGAGATGGAAGGAAAGAAGGAAGATTGAAGGGGAAAGGAAGGAGATTGAAGGGGAAAGGAAGGAAGGGAGGAAGATTGAAGGAGAAAGGAAGGAGAAGGAAGGAGATTGAAGGGGAAGGAAGGTAGGAAGGAAGGAAGGAAGGAAGGAAGGAGAGAGAGAGAGATTGAAGGGGAAAGGAAGGAGATGGAGAAGGAAGGAGATTGAAGGGGGAAGGAAGGAGAGAGAGATTGAAGGGGAAGGTATGGAGATGGAGATGGAAGGAAGGAAGGAAGATTGTCCCCCTCCTGGCCCGGCTGGCCGGCCTCTGACGCACATGTGGGCATCACCGCTGCCTCACCCTCTTCCCCGCCCCCTGGCCGCTTCTGAGGCCTGGAGCCTGGCAAGCTGGGAAGGAGCCGCTCCCGCCCAGCAACCCCATGCCCGCGCTGGGTGCCAGAGGGCCAAGGTGGCCTCCGATGGTGAGGGAGGCTGGCCGGGCAGTGTGGGGGAGGCTCCCACATGGTGCGGAGGGCAGCTGGGGGAGGAGAAACCCAGAGGCAGCGCCAGCAGCGGCTCAGACCCGGCTCGGCTAAGATTGGCCACTGAGCCAGCCCAGGGCGGCGTCGGGGGCATGCACTGCGGCTGCAGGAGCAGGTGCTGTCAGAGGAGAAGGGTGCCCTGGAGGC